GGAGGAGGGTGTGGATGTGCTGGTTCGAGAGGCAGCAGCTGGAGGCGCGTTAGAGCCTGCAGGACAGGAGGGAGAGACGGGGCTCCCGCGTCGCCCCTGGGACACCCGGGCTTGGGGACACAAGTGGGGGACAAGAACTGGGACCCGCTGCAGGTGCCACGTCACTCCTGACCTGTCTCTGGGGCTTGGGGCGGGGGGGGGGAAAGGACACACACAACAGCCTGGCTCCTCCAGAGCTGCTGGCAGACAGCGAGGGACCCCCGCGGTTCCCAGGGTGCCACATTACGGCTCCTGGGATGACCACGGTGAGGTGTCCCCTGGGACCCCCCTTGCCCACTGGGGTTGCCCCACAGGCACTGTCCCCAATGCTGGTGACTGTCAGTGGGGTCCCACCGGGGTGTCCCTGTCACACCAGCACCCCAGCCCCGTCACCTACCGTCAGCGCGTCCCCGGCAGCGTGCAAGAGAAGAGCGGGGTTAGAAGGGGCTGCGGGGGCGAGCGGTGCCAAGCGAGAGCCACCAGCCACCAGGACCAGCGAGCGGGGGGGCGCAGGCCCGTTCCTCCACCATGGTTTTAAACTGGGGGGCACGCAATTTTCTCCCCCAAAATCTCAAGCACCTCCTAGTTTTACTTATTCTTGGGTTTTACCAAGAGCATCCCACAGTGGTCACAGGGCCGGGGGACTGACCCAGCCCAGCTCCCAGCAGGGTTCAGCCCTCGGGCACACACGGGACGTGGCTTTGGCCTCCCCAAACCAGCGCTGGGGACCCAGTTTTAGGACCAGGCCTGCGTCTCCCTGCCAAGCCCCTCTCTAAACATGGCGCGGCCGGGGGTGCAGCGAGGCAGAGAGCGGGGGGGGCACGGCGCAAGGAAGGGGGGGACACGGGGGACACGGGACCACGCGTTACCTGACGGTGAGGTGCCGCATTTTGGAGGAGCCCTGGGTGGGGGATGAGGAGTTGCTTTTGCTCAGGTCCTCCAGCGACCGCTCCAGGCCCTTGCCCTTGTCGGAGCCTGGGCTGCCATTCTCGGCGCTCTCCATGTCGTACCTGGAGGCCCAGGGTGGGGGGACACAGGGACGGGTGAGATGTGGCACCCCAACACAGGCAGGCACCCCCCTGGGGTCCCCAGGGCTGGGGACACGGGCACGGAGGTGTTGGGGATGCTCTGCCCCACCCCAGCCATGGAGCATCCTTGGCTCCATCACTCCGATGAGGGGGGAGAGCACCCCCAAGGACCCCCAGCCCCTGTGAGCCCCAGGGGAGGCTGATCCCAGCCTTGGGGAAGGGGCACCCGCTGGGGACATACGCGACAGAGCACTGGGCGAAGGCGAGATACTCCAGCAGCACGTCCAGTCCCTTGTTCTCCTCGTTGAGGAACTCCTGGACCCAGCTGTGGGGTGCAGGGGGTTAGTGGCCTCCACAGCCCTCCTCATCCTCCCCTCTCCCCACCGCCAGACCCTCAGCAGAGCCACCCCCTGGCCAGAGGTCCCCAGCAAGGGTGGAACACACTGGGGACACGAGGTGGCACCATGAGTTGGCACCTCTCTGAGGCAGGTGGGTGCCACAGTGACCCCAATGCACGGGGGACACAGGCTGAGGGCTCCGCTGCCACCATCACAGGACACCCTGACCCTGTGTGGTGGGACCATGGGCACCCATAACTCAGCACCCACCACACCATGAGGGCTCAGGGCACCCAGGGTGGGGGCCAGGGTCCATCCTGGCACCCTGGGGGTTCCAGAGAACCAAAATGGGGTTTGGGTCCCACAGCACCCGTGGCACAGCCAGCTGCTTCAGCACCCCCCTCCTCCCAGCAGAGCCACCCCAGGGTGCAGGATGAGGCCATGAGGCCCCACATCCCACTGTGACCACCACAGCCAGAGGCCACCAGTGTGCCAGTCCCTGTGCCAGCCATGCCAGAGACAGCAGCAGCAGCTGGGTGACAGTGAGGACACCCCCATCTTTACCCAATGTAGTTGGTCCTCAAGGAAATCTCCAGCTCCCGGAGCACCTGCGTTGACTCCTGCACTCGCCTCTTGAACTGTGGGAGAGGGAGAGTCATTGGCACCATCCCCACACCTGACCTGGGACGGGGACAAGGGGTGCAGGGGGAGCCCTCACCTTCCTGCTTACACCACCCGTGTCCAAGTAGCTCTTCAGCTTCTGGATGTAGGCAGACGGCGGATTCTTCACCTGGAAACGCTCCTACGAGTCCCAGAGAGAGGCTGAAACCGTGCCACCCACCTGCGGCGTGGGAACGTGCCACCGTCCCCACGGCAGCCACCATGTCCCTGTCCCCACCCCCACACTGCATCAATGTTTAATCAGGTTAATGAGGCACTCTATCACTAACGGAGATGATGTCAGCGCTTGGCATGTGCCAGGTTGATGCCCACACTGTGAGTGGCGTTTGGGGACAGGGATGGCACTGGGGACACCGTGACACCCAGACCTCACCTGGTCACAGATGAGCTCCCACTTCTTCTCGTTGTCATACTGGTTGAGCAGCTTCATCTTGTCCGGGGGCAGGTTCATGGAGTTCTGTGGGGTGGTGATGGGTATCAGGGCTGGGGGTCACCCCAAAAAACACCCCCCAGGGCTGTAGCACCTGCTGCTCATCCAGCACCAGGTGTCCTTGCTCAGCGGTGGGATGATGGGGACACTGGTGGGATGATGGGGACACTGGTGGGATGCTGGGGGCACCGGCAGAAACACGTGGACACCACCATTCCGAGGATGTTAGCATCCCACCAGCCACAGACCCATCAGCAGCCACGGGGGTCCCCGAGGCAGAGGGCAGGGGGTGTTAGCGGGGGACAGAAGGAAAAACTGGACCCATCCATCCATGTCATGAGTGCACAGTGCTCCCGGCCTCAGCCAGCCCAGTCCCAGCAGAGCCACTTGGCGTGAGGGACGGGGACACAGGCTGGTGACACAGCTGAGGAACCCAGGAGTCTGGGCCCTGCTTGGGGGTGACGGTCACCTCCACGTCCCCCCACCACGGGTGCGTGACAAGCCCGGCTGGTGAAATCAGTGTTTCTTTAGAGACATGATGTCAGGGAAGGGTCTGGCATGTCACCATGTCCCTCTATGCTACCATTGCACAACCCCAGCCCCCGCCGGCCCCCCAGGGCCGCCCCAGCAGGATGTGACGTGGTTTCCGCTCTCCAAACGGCACAAGGCAGCTGCCGAAACTGCTCCGCGCCACGGCTGGGGGCTCCGGGAGGCCCCGGGTGCAGCTTCTGCCTCTGGGGTGCTCGGGGACACAGCGGGTCCCTGAGGGACACCATGGGGTGACCAGCAGAGCCTTTAGTGGGGTTCCCACCATGGCCTGGGCCATGCTGGGAGCTCAGCTCAGGTCACAGGTGATTTATTTTCCCCAAAGACCCATTTCTTGGTGATTCAGCTTCCAGGGAAAAGCAGGAGCTGAGGCTGGAGAGCCCAGGCACAATGGAAGCAATGCACGGCCCCAAGTCACCCTTAACCTCCAGTTAAGGGAGTTGAGGTGTTGAGGATGGGCATGTGGGGTGCATGCACCCCTGGGACACCCACATCCCTGGGGAAAAGGCATCTCACAGGGGTCTGGTTGCCCATGAAGGAGCCAATCCAAGAGGAGAAGTGCCACGGTGGCAGGCAGGAGCGGAAACCTCGCCGCCCGCCTCCACCGAGGACCTGTCGAGCTGCTTTCGCAAGAAGCCAAAACCAGGAGACGTGGGCGGAGGGGAGCCGGCAGGCGGCTGGATTTAGCCAAGGGACGACTCGCACCGAGAGCTGGGCAGGGAGGGTAAAATTAGGCTGCGGGGTCAGAAATAGCCTCGTTGCAAAGTCAGCGGGGGATGCACTGGAGCTGCTGCACGGGTCCTGGTATGGGCAAGGTGGTAGCAGCACCTGGATGTCCCCTTTGCTGGGGAGCCCCGTCCTCGTGGTCCCCAAGCTGCCATCCTTGGGATGGATGAGACCCTCCAGGAGGGTCAGCCCAAGGGACAGGGCCGTGCCAAGAGGGACCACGCACCCAAACATCCCACCCAGGGCTCTGGCAGCACCCGTGGGACACTCTGATGGGTGCCCTCAGCAGAGAGGGGATGGTGGCACCTGGACCACCTCTCCCAGGGACCATGTGTGTAGGACCTGGAAAAATCAGGAGCAAGTGTCACTGGTGGGACGGGAGCTCCTGTGGGTTCCCCACCATGAGGACACGGGCAGGGTGGGGAGATGCTGGGGATGTCTCTCTCGAGGTGGCTCTGCCACCGAGGCCTGTGGTCCCCTCCTCGCCTGCAGGGCTGGGCCGGGTGGCAGGATGTGGCACAGTTCGGGTACAAACTGGGTGGTGGCTGTGTCCCGTCGAGGCCCCGTGTGGGCACGTGATGCCCGGGGGGAGGAAGTGGCTCCGCTGTGGTCCCCGGCATTAGACGGCAGCACCAAGAAACTGGTTCTCATTTCCTGCCGGGGAGGGGGAATGGGTGCTGTGGGAGGTGTGGGGCAGGACGGGTGATGTGGGTCTGGGTAGGAGATGTGGGGCAGGGCAGCAGCTGAGCACCCTGGAGGTGACAGGGGGAGGACTTAGTCCTCCTCCTCTTTCTCTTTGGGGGACAAGGATGGAGGGGGCATGAAGACTTGCCGCCATCCCACCTCCCATCCTCTGGCACCCAGCACCCTCATCCCACCCCAGCATGGGGCTTCCCCATCCTCCCCCCCCAGCCTGCCAGCAATGTCACAGCCCACATTACTGAATGGATGTCACCAAACGTCCCCCACCAACCCTCCTGGGACACGAGATGCCACGGAGCCCACGGGGCCATCCCACCCAGGCCCAGCGCCAGGATGTGGCTGGCTGAGACCCCCCAGCTCAGCTGACAACAACTGCAGGACTGAGCTGGGCTTTACCCTACACCTAAAACTAAGACTGGGGGGAGGCAAAGCAGCACCTACATCATTTTCCGGTACAAAAAGACCTTTTCAGACTGCAGCACCCGCAGTGTCGGAGCTGCTGCCGGGAGGGGGACGGAGCTATTTTGGGTGTCAGATACCTTCTTTTTGTTTCGCACGCGAGCATGCAGAGCCGAGCAGAGCCAGGCTCTGCACCAAACCCCAGCACAAAAAATTCAAAGCATCCTTTACGGAAGTGTTTGCTCTGCAAAACACCGACAGGCTTGAGTGAAAACCAGGCTGAACCCAGGGAGCATTGTTTCTGGGGCATGTGGGGGGTGCACAGGGATGGAAAGCCTCGATGGCATGTGGCATGGGAGAGCATCCCAGTCCAGACATCAGGTACCAGCCCTGCCCGCTGCAGGGAAGGGGCCAGAGCAGCCTTGAGATGATGGTTTAGGGGCTTCCACCCTAAGGGAAGGACTAACATCACCACGAGCCCAGTCTGGTGGCCGATGGTGGACCACGGCACTCCTGGGATGCTCCATCCCTCATGGCCATGGACCACAATGCTCCCACCCAAGGGGGTTTGGGACACGCCCAGCCCTCCCGTGGTGTCCCCTCCAGTGACCCCAACTGCCACCAGACCCGTCCTCCTGCCTCTTCCTGAGGATCAGCGCCAGGCACCCAGAAGCATCAGGCCCACCCAGGCCTCTCCTGACCCTCAGCAAGCTGGGCTGGGAGTCCCTGGGTCCAGCCAGATCCCAAATCCACCACGTGCCAGGCAGGGACAAGCCTGTGGAGGAGCAGACAGGTCCCTGCCGATGGCCGAATCCTGCTGTGAGGGTGGCAAGGAGCAGCTAAGGGATGAGCGGCCGTTCCCACCTGCTGCTCCCGGCTCTAAGAACAAGCAGAAGCTTCTCTCAGCACAGGCTGGGGAGACGAGCCTGACCCAGCCACAGCACCCACATCCCTGATGGGTGCCCTCCTGCCCACCCTGCACCCACACGTGGGGGGATCCCTGTGCCAGGATGCCCCCCTACATCAGCCAGGGCCGGATCCAGGTGTATGGGGGGGTCCCTGTGCCAGGGCACCCTCGTTCAGCCAGGGCCATGTCCAGCCACGCACAGCAGCTCTCAGGTCATTCCCCTTCCTGTCCAGGGCACACGTTCCCCCGTGGGGACACCCCACCACAGCCCCCGTGACACCCAGCTGGACGTGGCCACCATGCCGGGGCCGGGCTGGGGACAGATCCAGCAGAAAGCTGATCATCAACTTTCTTTCCCAGTCGAGCTGAGGCTGACGCCACAGCCACGGCTCACTGGTGACTGGTCCCACCACTGAGGCCAACAACACATCCGCAAACATCTGAAAACATCTGCAAACATCTGCAGCGGTGACGTTTGCCACTCTCTCCTCCAGGTCCCAGGAGAAGCAGCTGCAAAGCCCCTGTCAGCAAGACCCCCGGCCAGAGCATCCCCTGTCCCCATCAGCCTCCGGCCCCAGGCTTCACCTCCACCACGCCCTCAACTCACACTTTCATTTCTATATTCCTGATTGCTCCCTCCTAATGTGCAAAGGGGGAAAAAAAATCCCAACTGCTCCATGCGGGAGCAGCCAAGCATCCCCATCCCAGCAACAAAGATGCTCCCCTTCCTCCGCTCCATCCCAAAAAGCCACCTCGGCACATCCCAAACCACTTGGCACTGGGACAACCCTCCCATCACTCTGCCAAAGAAGCATCTGCCACAGTGCCCTAGCTGGGAAGAAGCCAACTTTTGGGGAATAAAACTAAATTCCCCATTTCTTGGCATGCAATGAGTTTATCCATCCCCTTCCTGGTGGCAATTTGGATCCCCTGGGCTCCGCTGTTGCAGAGCTTTTCTGCCAGACTTTGCTCCACCAGCTCTCCCAGTTTGGGATGTCCAGGCCAAGACTGGTTTGCACCAACGTGCTGCCACAGCGTCCCCACAGCTGTGACAATGTGCCAGATCCAGATCACGCCCCACCGGGAGATTCCCAACCCATGACCTCCTGCTCCATCCCTGATCTCACTAGCTCAGGAGGTGGAAGAATTAAATACTGAGTCAAGGAACATGTTTGGGGTAGGTGAAGGGTGGAAGCTGTCTCTTATACACAT